AACTCAACCAAATCACGGGTTTTAACAACTGGATTTAATTTTTAGAATATTCGACCACAAGCACTTTATAGTTTAACAAACTAGAGACTAATGTGTGTGTATCTGCAGCTGTAACCCACTTCTGATAACGTCTTCTCTTTCGAGGCTTCTATAAGGAAACTGTTCAAATGCATAGTCTATAGAAGTTCCTTCTCTTTCTTCTGTTTTCATTTACTGCTCAGAACACTTTCCATTAGTCTCCAAGTCCCACTGAAATTGTTATTGTCAAGTGCCTTTGAATTGATAACTCTAGGTGAGTCTATGAACAACAGATCAGAACCATGCCCTACCCTGCACCATCCTCACCATCTCTGACATGCGCAAGCCCACTGTCATTGTGCCAATCTCTCTCTTTAAAGGTCTTCTTCTCTTTTGCTGACCTTCTACTGCATTGCTCCCGAAGGCATGCAGTTCGAATCCACCAGCTGCTCTTCAGGAGAAAGATGGGCAATCTCCTCTGGTGCAACTAACTGCCTCCGAAAACCCACGCGGAGAGTCAGCTATGGGTCGGTGCCGACTTGATGATACACAATGACAACAACGACATCTTTTTCCAGTGACTGTCTTCTCTTGACAACCTGCCCAATGTCTCATATATTGAGATGAGCAAAGGAAAGAACAATATATAAGAGGACAAGTAGCAAAATATCACTTAAAAAAGGGAGGACAGAGAGATATAGAAGGATTAGTGGAAGTGAGAATTACAGTGAGGAAGTAGGAAGAATTCCATCTCGTTGTGGCTACAGACACTGGTGTTATGGAACAAAATGTATTAGAATGGCTGAAGGAAAAATTAATTTGCCAAGTAGCAGTACAAGGATTTGAATTCATCAGAGACAGATTACTGGATGTACAAACCACCAATTACTGAAAGGCTGGAAGGGTCACTCTACCAGGAGTGCCTTGGAAGAAAGGCCTGGCAACCTGTCTCTGAAAATCATATTGGTTCAACAGCATTTGGTTTGGTTTTGGTGTTTTAGTGTTTGGAGACTGAATGCATAACCTGTTACCTTTTTCTATTAAAACCACCACAGTTTGCCAAACATAAGTATGTTCTTTTAATTTTATTTACTATTTGAGTAAATGTTTATAAAGCAAATTGGAATTCTACGCACCACCGTAGACATTTTTATTTTATGCCAGGAATCACTACACCCACACTGCAGCCATATTCTGTCATGTCCCAGTGATCCTCAAGTCCATTCAGCCTTCTCACTGCTATCTGAGCTTTACCCCTGGGCAAGAGCTGCCCTTTTGATCCTTGACTGTTCTAAGCAGGGAATACTTCTCAGGCTCGCATTACAGGGCCTACTGTTTGACTCAAAGTTGAGCTAAGGGGGTGAGCTTATGTCCAGGCTTGAAAGGTGACTGAAAGGTTTCACCAGTCTCTATCAGACCACAAGGGTAGGCATTTTATGATCTGGAGTTTTGTTCCCCATTCCTCCTTGCCCCTGCCCCTGACCCCCAGCGCCCAGGATTTTCTACTTTGATCCCTTTGAGAACAGTCAGCACCTCTCGGGAACCAGGCACCATCTACTTCTCCTCTCAACAGCTGCTGAGGCTCAGAATTTAGTTCACCGGACTGTTTCTAAGTATCTTTAATTTTCTTCATTCTTCTTTATTCCAGGGTGTTCTGGTGGCTTGGTGATTAAGGAGCTGAGCTGCCAATCCAAAGACACAAGGTTCAAGTCCACCAGCTGCTCCATGGGAGAAGGATGGCCAATTTCCTCCCACAAAATTAACTACATCTGAAAACCCACTGGGGGTGTCAGCCAGGAGTCAGTTCCAACTCGATGGCACAATAACTTCTTTATTCCAGAGAGAAACTATAGTTTCATATTAGGTAACCGTTCATAAGCTTTTAAGACTCCAGTTCCTACTCACTAAAGGAAGACGTCGAACACAATCTTCAATGACTGTTATGTCAACTGACCTTGATGTTTTCAGAGACTGTTGTCCTGAGATCATACGACCAGCAACTCACTTCCAGGGTGACTGGTTATGATTGAGTTTATGTAACTTTGTCTGGTTGCCTCTATTATGTTGTTGTTGTTGTTATGTGCCGTCGAGTCGTTTGCGACTCACAGCAACCCTATGTGTAATAGCCCTAAACCCTGCTCTATCCTGTGCCAATCGCACTGCCTCTGACACACCCATCCCAATTACCCCCGTCACTGAATCAGTCCACCTCATAGAGGGTCTTCCCCTCCTGCGCTGTCCCTCCACCCTCCCAAGCATGATGTCCCTCTACAAGGACCTGTCCCTCCTTGCAACATGCCCAAAGTATGTCAGACGAAGCCCCAGAATCCTTGCCTCCAAGGAGTTGCTTGGTTTAACCCTCTCCAGGATGAATCTGTTTGTTTTGTACAGGAATATATTTATAGGTGGTCGAGTGGTAAGAAGCAATACTGCAAACCTGAAGGCACACGGTTCAAATCCACGTGCTCAGTAGGAGAAAGATAGGTAATCTCCTCCTGTGTCACTAACTGCCTTTGGAAACCACCAGCAGGTCAGCTATGGGTTGGTTCCGACTCAAAAGTACACAACAACAATAATATGAATTTAGAAGATTATCTGCCAGACCTACATACAGTCCCTTCATCTACTCCTATCTGCTTGGCTTGTCTGCCTGTGTGGCCCCCCTGAGGGCTAATGTTTCATACTGATACCACAGGAAATGTGTCCAATGGTATTTACCTTTGCTGTCTGCATGTGCACCTGTGCCTTCCTTTTCTTTAGTGATTCTGTGCTGATGTCCCCTTTATGGAGCTTGCTCTTTTGAAGCATCATCTTGTTTTTGCATGTGTCAATCCCTCTGCTGAAATGACTCCTGTAAACTACCAGCTACTCCCACGTCCTTCCTATCAGCTCCGGCACAGTCTTCTCTTGGAGAGGCCTCCCTCCTCCAGCACGCTAGGTCACTTCCTCCCTTCTGCTCCCACAGTCCCTTCCCCCAGGAGACACACCACTCAGTGGCCGCTCCTATTAGACTCTACACTCCTGCAGGGCCAGGATTCAGTCCTGTAAGCCCCACAGCGCCTGAATGAGCAGTCAGTGACAAAGCAACTCTCCACTTCCATTTCAGAAAGGCTTTTCCAGGATTTTTTCCCCTTTTTTTAAAAAAAAATCTACCATCATTCACTTTTAAACGAGTATTCATGTATATTGTTCCATGTATATGTATCTTATACAATCACCTCTGCACATTGTGTTTTATATCATTAATTACTACTGATTTGTTACTTTTATCTCCTAATCTCCTCCAGTCTCCACTACACCTTATCTACTTCTTCACCTGCCCATCCCCACTCACTTCTGATCTCCTCTTCCTCCCTCCACTCCCCTTCTCCCTTTGGAATAGTTATACATATCTTTTTATATATACACACACATACAGAGAGTGAGCGCACGCGACAGCCTACCAACCTATTTGTTAAGTGCATTCTTCCCAGGTTGATCCTGCCTGGCTTGGTCCTTGTAGTCAGTGTCCTCTGTCTGCCCATTACATGGCTATTCTTCCCTTCACCCCAGCCCCCTCAGCCCCCTTTACCCTCCTATTGTCACCGTAGGATCTTATGCAGTATTTGTTCTTTTGTATCTGAGTTACCTCACTCAACATAGCGCTCTCTAGACTCTCCCATGTTGTGTTGCATTTTACAAATACTTCCTTGTTCTTCAGTACTACAGTGTTCTTATCTATGCACTTCCCTGACAGAAAGCTCCTGGCACACAGGATTACTAGGCATCAAATAAACACAGAGACACAGGCAGAAGGCAATCAAGCCAGGGAGAGAACTAGAGAAGGAAGAAACGAGCATCCACGGAAATGCTGGAAAACGTTAGAGATTATAAAGATCACCACATTTCTTAATGAAAAGATTTCTCCCTTTCCTGGTAAATTGAATGGGAAATATCTGTAAATTTAAGTTTCTCTTACGAAACTAGCTTTCTGATACACTTTGTTATATAGCCAACTGTTTTGTGTCCCAAAAAATATTTGCTATAAAGTGTCCACATGCCATTTAAAAACCTGCTAGAACGCAAGACACCCTTGAGAATCTTAAGATATGAAATCAAGTGTATTGAAGTAGTAACAGGAGTTTAGATATAAGCAGGGCTATTTTGATCTTGTTTCAAATATCAATTTAAACTTGTTTTAACTGGTCTCATAGTCCCAATTACAATATAGCACAGTACAATATGTTGATTTTATTTTTTTTTCTTTCTTAAGAAACAATATACAAGCAACCCCTGACAAAATTAAACAAATTTAAAGCACAGAGCTAAAGCAACAATAATCAAAATGAAAAACAAACAAACCAACCCAACAAAGAACCTCCACAAAAATCTTCTGAGTGAAAAATCCATGCAGAGTGAACAGTGTTGAAGAAGAGGGGGGGAAAGCAGAAATTTAAAAATGAGTTTTCTCACACCAGGGTCTGGGAAGAATGGGAAAACCTTTGCCTACTCTCAAATATAAACCCAGAAGAAGAAGAGGAAACTAAATGTCTATCAGTGGATGAACGGGTACAAAGACTGCAAATACCTAACAACAGAATACCACTAAATCTCAGAAGACAATCCCATCCTGAAGCATTCTACAACATGAACAAACCTTGAAAATGTGCTCAATGAACTAACCCGGTCACAAAAGAATATTATATAACCTCACTCATATGAAGTACCTACAATATACAAATATGAACAAATAGAGAACAAAGTTCATTAGTGGCTTCCAGACATGGAGAAAGAGGGGAAAGAATGAGTCCCAGCTTAGGGCAGCATGGAATTTCTGTTAATGGTGGTGGAATAATCTGGAAATGGGTAGATGTGGTGGTTGCACTATACGGTGAACACAATCACTAGCACTCATTTGTGTGTAAAAAACATGGAATGGGCACATGTCATGTTATCTAAGTTTTTACGACGATGAGAAAAATGAGAACCCAGAAGACACTTACCCGGGCTGCTCTGAGCAGCAGCTGCATAGGAAAACAGAAACAATCGCTTAAGTAGTTTAGGAGCCTGGGTGTGGTGAATTATGCCACTGACGATCTACAAAAGAACCAAGCAATGTAAAGTCACTAAAAAAGCTGAGACTTGACACAGTTATGATTTTACCAGGAACACACTAGAAGAGGTAAGAGCACATTTGTCTCTTTTCATCATGCCAATGGTGGGAAAAGCATAGGGTCAACAAAAGGGAGGGAGCCCTCAATGAGATGGATGGACGCAGTGACTGCAAAGGTGGGTTAACAGGGGAGACTGCAAGGATGGTACCGGATCAGACAAGGCATCAATCTGTTACGGGGTGGCTAAGAACTGGAGCAGACTCTAGGAGCTCTGGGGACCTAAGGCTATGAATCTGCACTGCAATCTCAAAAACTCACGGTTCGAATCTACCAGCCGCTCCATGGGAGAAAGATGGACAATCTCTTCCAGTGCGATTTACAGCCTCTGAAAACCCACTGGAGAGTCAGCTATGGATCAGTTCCAACTCAGTGGTAAACAACAACAAATAAGGGATCTAACAACAATGACAAAGTAGCTCCTAAGAAGTCCTTCGGGAACAGTGAGTTACACGGCCGGTTGCTAACAAACGGCAAGCAGTTCAAATCCACAATCTTCACAAGGGAGTGAAGAAGTGGGCAGGCTCCTCCCTTCAAGATTTACAACCTCTGAAACCGGGCGGAGGGTCACCAGGAGCTGGACCTGACTCCACGGTCAGTCGAGACTTTTGAATGTGGTTCCTTTGGAAAGTACGCTGTATCTTCTCAAGGCCTGAGTGTAGCTACGAAGATACATACATCTTGGGATAATATTAAATAAACAGAATGCTAACCATTCTGTCTGGTTTTTTAATAATTTTGAATTTTTAGGGACATTCTAAAAACAATTCCTGAGAAAGGGAGGTAAACATTTAGGTCCTATAAGTCAGATTCTCCAAATATCTGGCAAGTCAAAGACTTGTAGCCAATATCAGACAATAGCCAGGACACTTAGCTGTCCCGTCGTACTTGGTGTGGCCTCTAGAATCTTCTAGACAATGAGCTAAGGAAATCAATCTATGTGCTGTTTGTGTGAAGTTCCAAACAAGAGTAGGTTTGGATAGATGACTAACCCTTTTATCCAGAATGAAATTTATGGTTTCACAGGGAATATCTCCTGGAATCCAGAAGAGAAAGGAGAGTTGTGTTCTAACTAGACAATTTTGGAATTTTCCGTAAGTTTCAAAGCTGTAAAGTTAAAATTCATGAGATTTAGGGTCACTTGGTGAGGCTGTTGGAGGTAAGGGGAGAGGGTTTCCTCGTGCCTGCAGCATCCTGCTCTTACGGGGTGTCTCCCACTCTTCAGGAGCTCTGGAAATGAAAGCACTAAAGCATCAAAGGACTTCAGGCAGCATGTGTTGAGCTAATACACAGATACCATTTAGTAACTTTCATGTTTTAATCAAGACCCGTGGGATTATAACCAACTTTCATTTCACAGATGTCAAGTGTCCTCCTAACCTTTGTGTAACTTAAACACTAGGGTCTGAGGGAGAAACCTGAGGGGAAATAAAACCTAAAAAAGGCATGCAACTAGTTACCCTTTTGACTTCCTCCTCCTTTGTGTACCTCAGACAGAAGTGGAATACTCGGAGGTCTTTGCAGTGGATGATGAGCTTCTCAGGGTATTTCTTCAGTTGTCCAATGACAGTTTTTTTTTTCTCATCAAACACTACAGATCAATGATTAAATCAGGAAAGGAAATTACATTAGCAGGCAACAAGTCAGTGTTCAAGAGAGACAAGGGTGACTACGAAGGTCTAAGGAGATGTCTCCCTAAGTAAAAGGATAGGGACTATCTAGCTCAGAATAATCAATAGCAGGGGCTCAGGCCCTCTAAGTTAGGGTTCTCTGTGCCTCTGAATAAAACACAAAGCCAAAAATAACAGGCCATTGATGGCAGAACTGATTCTATGGACATGAAACAGTGATGACAGCAAAAGGTGTGGAACCAAGGGATACACTTTCTTTGGATTGCCAACTCTGGGGCTTATGACCAGGTTGCCTCCTGACAACTCCCCTTTCTTCCCCCAGAGTCTGGACATACTCAGCACTTATTAGTGCTGAGAACATCATAAATGGCTACAGAACAATTTCTGGGGAAAGTCCTAAACATAAAAATAAAGAAGTAGAATAGAGGTAGGCTTGGCCAGATAAGTTTATTTACTTAGCAATAAAAGATACCCTAATGCAGCACCACAGACCTTTATCAGATTAGCCTTTAAAGTAAAGCCTGCATAGCAGATAGCGAAAGTATAATCAATGTTGAGCACATAATGGCACTATGGAGTATGTCAAAGAACAGGCTCCAAGTTCAAGAACAAGTGTCCTAAGCCAAGTGACTGCAAGTAAGTCACTTGTGATTTTCCTCACCCTAAAAAATAGATTGAAACAAACTAATGTATATACAATAAAATGTTAATGAACTCCAAAGGTCCTGGGTGGTACAGGTAATGAGCTTGGCTGCTAACTGAACGGCTGAAAGTTCAAGAGGTGCCTTGCGAGGGGAGAAGTTTAAGGCTTGGCAGTCATTTGTGAAAGCTAAGCCAATGAATGCCGTATGGAACAATTTTCTTGACATAAAGTATATCCAAATTCAAATGCTGTGTTCACATCATGATTACTCTAGTACAAATGGGGTTACCAGGAGACTAAACCAACTTAGGAACAGCTGGGGTTTTCAAAATAATGGACCATAAAACAACATTCTCAGCTTTACATTCAAATGATGTCAAGAGCCCAGGCAAGGAATGAGACTTACCTCCATAAATCTGATCAACACAGTGGAGAGTGATGTCATTTTCTCCTATAACTTTATTCTTAAATTGGGTTTCCTGAAAGATTAAAAAAGAAAACAGCTGGGATTCCCTTCTCTGTGCAGTGAGATATTTACAGAGGGAACACTTAACATTCAACGTGCACGTTCTAAAAAGAAAGAAAGAAAATAGGGAATGATAGCAGAAAGAAGCCCTATCCTGAAGACAGGGATGAAAAAGTATTTGAAAAAAGCTGTGAGCCTTGACTTTTTGATCCAGCAAAGCCAGGATTCTCCTAAGAAAACCTCTCACTTCATGCACTTATCAGAGAGGCGCTCACAGGTGAGATGCAAGAGAACAGTCTAATGCCTAAGTGCAAACAGGTGACTGATGGAGCCGCTTAAAGCCATCGGGAGGGAGAAAATGCGGGAGACGTGAGCGCCTGGCAAACACTGTCTTCGTACAGGATTAGGAACCCAGTCCCAACAGTGGGCAAGGCATAGGAGACCACATGAGAGGTCTCTGAGCCAGCAGTGGTTGGTGCTCCTGTGTTAGAAACAAGGGTGGTCGGGAACGGCCAGGCCCTGGCCGGGTTTCCATTACTGTCTGGTGCTCTGAGCGGGGTGAGCAGTCCCCTCCTTCCTCAGTCCCTTGTTTGATTGCCTGCACAGACGCAGTCTAATGGGACACTGTTATTAGGTTCTGACAGGGTTCATTCAAGGCAAATCCCAATTCAGCATCAATCTCTCTACTGAACATGAAGAATTAGTAGTATATTTGGGGAGAGGAGGTATTTTCCCAATGAGTAATATGTACTACAATAAAATACAGAATAAGAAAAGGGAGACAGTGTCAGCCTCTTAGGCCAAATGCAAAGCAGCGTGCCACACAGCGCAGGTGGAAAACTGCAGGACAGTCTTGCTCCTGAGAGGATGCTGTGAGGGACAGAGAGTAGGACCAGTGGCAAGGACTTCTGTCCTGCAGGCTCATGTGTGTCGGGGTTCACTAAGAAGCTGGGGAGAAGGAAATGGAGCCCCAACCGCCTGGTTCACCCCCTCATCGCCCCAAACAGCTGGCACGTACGTCATGATCCAATGCAGATTCATCGTCCCCCAAGAAGGCAATCTTGAAGTCTGTGCACACGAGCTTCCCACAGATGCCGCGCTGACAGGAGTCCTCCTGGACACACTTCAGAACTGTGCTGGCCTCACAGAGTAGCTGCTCACCTGACAGAAACGCAAACAAGCCCTGCTCAGAGCCCTGCGGGACCTGAAGTGGGAGAACACTCAAAGCTTCCGTATGTAGGACACGCATCCTTCACTACACAGGGCAGCACCTGAGGACTTTGCATTTCCCAGCGTGGCAGGAGCTACAATGTGTGGGAGAAGACGATGACGTAGAGGGGAGACCACCACTAAGCAAAAGCACAAAGGCTTGGGTCCACCCTCACACAGGGAGATTGTCTCTTCTCTCTGCCAACAACGACCATTTCCAGAGAGGGGACAATTCCCTCAGCTACACTTTCACTTGGTGTTTGTTTTACTTTGACCCGAACATGACTGGGAACACAATCTCCATGCGCAGCAGAGTGAGTGCAAATGGAGGGACCATGTGTGGCCCCTTCCGCTGACCTTGGCCCGCTCCGCCTCTCCTTCTGGAGTTGTTAGAGCAGAGCAGGCTGTCTCCCGGGCGACCGCTTCCTCACACACGAGAGTGCTCTCATCTTCTGTGGCAGAACCACCCTCATTCTGGCTCCACAGACAAAGATGGGAGGAAAAAGGATGTTTTGTGGGGGAGCAAAAAAAACCAAGGTTTCCTCTCTTTCTTCACTGAGATTATTTCCTGCGAATGTGTCACCTTTTCCTGCCCTCTCTGCAGGCCCTGGGCTCATGGGAAAAACTCCCCTTCCTGGAGGCAGTGGGCTTCTCTCCACAGGCAAAATGGAGGCTTATGAGTCGGGATAAGAGAAGGATGGAGGAGAAAGGAAAAGTCAGTCGAAGTACTGTGGTTGTTAGGTGCTGGGGACTCAACTAAAACGCCTAACTGACCTGATAAACAACACACGGGAGCCCTCCTCACAATCTCCACCCATACACACAGCAGCAGAGAAAAACAACTGGCAATCTCTTTGCTCCTTCCCTCTCCCTTTGGCGTCTCCATCAGGGCATTTCTTTCAGTTTCTTACCATTTACTTTTGGCTCAAAACTGACATGGTCTTTCACTAAAGAAACAAGAGAAGAGTTTATGCTATCTAGACTCTCAACAGACATATGCTTTGGAGTATGTTTTCCATCTTTTGAAGGGTTAATCATTTCAGGCTGAAACTCTAAGGAAACAAGGGAAGAGGTTGGTCACCAGGCTAGCCTCCAGAGAGACCACAGAACTTGAAGAAAACAATGCAGTCTGAGCCTCATTAGGGTTTAAAATAGGTCCAGAAAAAGTACACCAGCTAAATCCACAGCAAAAGCTACGTGAGTAAGGCTTCTTAGGTTTAAAGCAGGACTTCAAATCAGTTCTTCCAAGGTCAGTCAAGGCCAGCCAAGTGAAATCAGAATGGACTTGAATTTATAAAATTCAGGTGAACTTGAGGGGAAATATTATGGATGCACACCCTGACAGGAATGTAATCTTCCTCTCAGAAAAGAAGGGCAGTGTGTTGTATAGCAACCAAATTTCTTGACCATCACAGTCAGAAACAGCATTTGGCCACTAAAAGATGGCACCACTTTGAATGTGTATTGCTCTTCACAGTCCTGGCAATAACGCATCAGAGATGCACCCTGTCTCCATACTTTTCCAACCTATATACAGAACAGATCATGTGGAAGGCATGGCTCTACGAGAAGGAATGTGGCATCAGGATTGGAGGAAGACTCAACAACCTATGTCATGCAGATGACATAACCCTGCTTGCTGAAACTGAGGAGGACCTGAAGTGCTTGCTGCACAAGGTCAATATGAATTGAAGCTCAACATCAAGAAGACAAAGATTCTCACCACTGAGCCAACTGGCCGCACCACAATAGATGAAGAGATTAAGGCTGTTAACTATTACAGCTTGCTTGGCTCCACAATCAACACTCTTGGCATGAGCAGGCAGGAAATAAAAAGAAAAATTGCATTAGGAAAATCTACTGTCAAGGACCTCTCCAGAGTACTGAGAAGCAACGAGGTCAGTCTAGAGACTAAGGTGTGCCTGATCCAGGCCATGCATGGTCTTCACAATTACTTGCTATGCATCAGAAAGCTGGACAATGACTAAGGATGAGAGTAGAAGAACTGATGCTTTTTGAGTTGTGGTGCTGAAGAAAAGTCTTGAATATACCGTGGACCACCAAGAAAAGAAATAGGTCTGTCTTAGAGAGGGTAAAACCAAGTTTCTCCTTGGAGGTTAGGATTTTAAAGCTCCATCTCATATACTTTGGGCATGTGGCCGGAGGTGGGGGGGCTGGCTGGTCCTTGGAGGACACCACACTTGGAAAGGTGGAGAGACAAGACAGGATAGGAAGATCTCAGATGAGATGGATTGATATAGTAACTCAGGAAATGGGGGTAGGAGTGTCAATGTCAGTGAGACTGCCTCAGGACAGGGCAGGCTTCAGGGCTGTTCTACACAGGGTCACTATGAGTCAAAGGCGATTCAAAGGCACATAACAACAACATCATGCTCTTGGAAGTATTCACTATGCTTATTCCAAGCCTCCTAATCCAGGGCTCTGACTCAAAACTTTCCTGTTCATGATGCTTTTCCACCTCAGCCAAATTTAAAATTCAGGTCTGTTTTGATTTCACCTTCTTTGGCCATGACTCAACTAATTCAAATAGCTTTGAAGCCCAAGTTTGATGTTTCTAACTTCAAAATGAAAGAGCCTTTTCATGTGTTCCCCCCCTCTATTTTTTAAAATACTTTGCACATTTAAAAGAAACCTTACTGTGATTCCAATGAAAACTTACAGAACTGATTTTTGATTCAGTAATTCATACCCTTATTATGGAGTTAACCATTAGTATCAGTGTTGTCCCTGCCTTTGGCACAAATGTCTTTACCCACTTATTTCCCTGCTCCACCATCCACCAGGATACCCATCCACTTCTACCCACTCCCTTCACATCTATCTCCCATTGACCAGCCCTTGATCTAATAGCTTATATATGAAGCTTCCTTGGCTTCTGTGATTCCAAACACATCAGCTGTTAGGGACCTCTCCAAAGTACTAAAAAAGTACTAAAAAGACGGCACATAACAAAAACAACAACAACAATTCATACCCATTTTTGTCTCATGACACTGACTACACTTCTTTTCTCATTTTCTCCTTCTGTATGCCACTCACTCATCCTTCGAATCCTAGCTCTTCTTGCCTTCTGAACGATAACCCTCTGCAAATGCTGCTCTTTTGATGATGTACAAGTCATAGTGGACTCAAAAGCGATGGGCTGGGTTGGGTTTTTAAGCTAAATATAAAAATTCATTTCAAAATCTCTATAAAATGACACAACAATATAATATATAGATGAAGGTTTAGGCTATTTAAAATGTGTTTATGTATTTATAATATATAATAAATATACTAAAGTTCATTTAATAATAAATCATTTTAAAAATTAATTTCTATAAATGATATATAATAGGAAGGTTCGATGGCCTGGCTGTAAGAAGCTGTGCTGCAATCCCAAAGGTACAGGGTTTGAATCTACCAGCAGCTCTACAGAGGAAGGATGGGCAATCTCCTCTCAATGCAATTTACTGCCTCTGAAAACCCGCTGGAGGGGCAGCTATAGGTTGGTTCCAACTCGACAACACACAAAAGCCACAAAATATTTATTTTTATATATGTAATTGTTGTTGATTGTCATCAAGTCGAGCACAACTCATTGCAATCCTATGATCAAAAGACCTGAAGTCTTTCTATAAATATCATCGTTTCTCAAAGTTCATCAAGTTTCCAGAGGCACATTGTTTAGGAAGTGAATCCCACTCTTGCATTCAAACCTGTCTTAAGCTGGGAGCTCCACTAAACACTGTTCACCATGGGTAATTGTTATGCCATTTGATACCCCACTGGCACAAAGTTCAGCATCACAGCAACCCCAGGTTACCTCAGTACAGCATATTGACAGAAGAGTGCTGTACCACTTACACTTACACACACACACACACACACACACACACATTTATATATCTTACAGTGGGAAAAGTCTTTGAATTGTAGGGAGATTTTCTTAAAAGTTTCTCTAAAAGATTAAATATGTATTGCCAAAGAAGACAGACCAGTCAGAAATTTGTATATATTCTTAGCTCTTAATAATCTAAAATAAAATATTTTTCAAATAACTATTTCTGCTGAGTCAATTTTAACTCAAAGTGATTCTTATTGGGTTTCCAAGGTTTCTGAACTGGTTTCCAATGTAAATTTTTATGGGAAGAGACTGTTCATCTTTCTTCCTCAGGGTGGCTGGTGGGTCTGAATCACTGACCAGTTTGCTATCAAGACTTAAGACTTAAAGGAAGGGAAAAAAGCTATTTTGAAAAACAAGGTGGTAGAAGAACTGGTTGCACAGCTCACAGAAGTCGCTGCTGCTCCTCAGTTCAGAAGAGATTACAATTTACTTGAGCTAGCATCATTTTCAGTTTGAGGACCACAGTGTATTTGATTCAGGCCATGGTCTTTCAGATTACTTGCTATATATCTGAGAGCTGGACAATGAGTAAGGATGACAGAAGAAGAACTGACTCCTTTGAGATGTGGTGTTTGAAAAGAGCACAGAACATCCTATGGACGGCCAGAAGAACAAATAAATGTCTTGGAGAGGGTGAAGCCCAAGTACTCTTTGAAGGCTTCTTCGCCTCACATACTTTGGACATGCTGCTATGATGTTGGAGAGGGAAGGACATGATGCAGGGAAGGGTGGAGTGTCGGTGAAGGAGAGGAAGACCCTTAACCAGGTGGATTACATGGTAACTGCTGCAATGGGCTCTTGTGTGTCAGGAAGTGTGAGGATGGTGTAGTAGATAAGGCAGGGTTCAAGTCTTTTGTTCATAGGATCGCTATGAGTTGTACTCGACTCAATGGCACCTAACAACAACAGGGTCATATTTGACCATCTTCTAAGTGAGCAACCAATCCAGCTTGCTATCTAGGGAGCCCTGGTGGCCTAGTGGTAAGGAGGCGCACTGCAAACCAGAATGCAGTTTGAATCCATCAGCAGCTCTATGGAACAAGGACGGGCAATCTTACCCTGTGTGTTATAGCCTCTGAAAACCTGTGGGAGGGTCAGTAATGAGTCAGTTCTGATTCTGAGGCACAGAGCAACAATATACAATGACCTTAGAGCAAAGCCCCGTGACCCAGGGCTGTCAAACACTAGCATCCTCTGGACTTGGGCTCAGAGGCGAACAAGGCCAACCATCGAGGGGTGCTCTGAAATATGCAGGAGCTGGTCCATTAAACGGCAGCAAGGGGTCGTGAGAGGGGAAATAAAGTAGAGGGTGTAGGGTTCTGTGGGGAGGTGGCTTTTCCTAATTTGAGACCTTAGTAATAACTGGGCCCAGCAAGGCAACCTGGAAAAGGGCTCATTTGCTTGTGAAAGAGGTGAACAATTGCCAGGTTTATTTTCATCAGTCTGGGAGAGGGTGGGAACAAGAAAAATTCCTTGCAGATGTTGTCACACCCAGGTGTAGTTATGGAACTAAAGACCTAGCTATTTGTGTCCAGCTCGTTACTGTGACATGCCCTCTGGGTGAAAACAAAGAGTTTATAATTAGCAATACTGAGAATGAGGTAATTTACCTTTGGCTTTGGCTTACACATGAGGTTAGACATGAAAATGACCGTTACCTGGCAACAAGTGAAGAGTCACTTCCTTTTCTGTTACTTCTTTGTCGTTTGTGTGAATGTCCTACAAGAGAAGAATAAAAGGTAATTTTTTCCCTATGCTTAAAGGGTCAAAATGAATACTAATGAGCTTTGTATTTTAAAACACATTAAAATATTATATCCCACTCAAGGATTTAAATACATATTTTTTTAATATGACAGGATTATTACTTTTTTTAAAATGCTGTTAACTAAACGAAAACATAAAATTCCAACAAGTCAGAGGTGGTAAAGGGCTGAAAGGCAAGGATGTCATTTTAAAGACTAAGGTGTGTCAGACCCAAGCGATGGGAAAGTTTGCTGTTAGGTACCTCTTCAGGGTACTGAAGAGCAATGGTGTCACTCTGGAGACTAAGGTTCATTTGATACAGGCTATGGTCTTTGCAATCACTTGTTATGCATCAGAGGGTTGGACAATGACTAGGAAGGATAGAAGGAGAATTGATGCCTTTGAGCTTGAACTGTGGTGCTGAAGAGGAGGATTGAATATACCATGGACTGCCAAGAAAACAAACAGATTCATCCTGGAGAGGGTTAAACCAGGCTGCTCCTTGGAGGCAAGGATTCTGCGGCTTCATCTGACATACTCTGGACATGTTATAAGGAGGGACAGGTCCTTGGAGAGGGACATCATGCTTGGGAGGGTGGAGGGACAGTGCAGGAGGGGAAGACCCTCTATGAAGTGGATTGATTCAGTGACTGGGGTAATAGGGATGGGTGTGTCAGATGCAGTGTGATTGGCACAGGATACAGCAGGGTTTAGGGCTGTTGTACATTGGGTCACATAGGGTACATATGAGTCACAAGCGACTCAACGGCACATTAACAACAACAAACATAAACATGTGAAAGTTGCACAATGAATAAAGAAGACGGAAAAATAACTGATGCATTTGAACTGTAGTGCATGTGAAGAATAGTGAACATACCATGGACTGCCAAAAGAGGAAATCTGTTTAAGAGTAAGTAAAGCCAGAGCGCTCCTTAGACACAAAGATGATGAGACTTCATCTCTTATACTTGGGGCCTGTTATCAGACGGGGCAGTCCCTGCAGAAGGGTGTCATGCTGGGAAAGGTTGAGGGTCAGCACAAAGAGGAGGGCCCTCAACAAACGGATTAATACAGTGACTCTACAATGGGTTTAGGCGCAGAGGAGACTGTGAGGATGGTGCAGGACTTCCTTCTGTTCTCCAGAGAGCCACAAAGGGGAGGAACTGACTTGATGACAATAGCAGCAGCAACGGTTCCCAAGCTGAGGGGAAAGGAACCAGGTCAAACAGCACACTTCAAAGAATGACCATGAACCAGAAAAAGGGAGCTCAGGAATAGAACAGATGACATTCCACCCTCTTCCTTCAGCAAGACCTAGGACTAGAAAGCAATTAAAAAAAAAAGTGTGTGTTCTTGATGGGGGAGGGAGGGAATGAATATATACAAAGAGCCTGAAGGCAAGAACAGAAAAAATGTGTCATTTTAATAATGATCAATACTCTGCTCTGTAGTGCATCAGTCTTCAGCAAAGATGGTTGTGTCGGTTCTGTATTATGTTAAATGACGAAGTGCCACAGCGCTCAATCACTTCTAACAGGGAACCCAGGCCAAACCTTAGGTTCTTTGTGAAAATAACTTTAACTGCTCCAATTCTGGTTTCAGTGTTTACTGAAAATTCAAAGCTAACTCAGCTCACACTCAATTCACTCACTGCCAGCTCATGGAACGAGCTCATAGCTGAGCCTCCACTGGGTTTCCAAAGCTGTAAATCCCAAGGGTGGAGACTGCCTACCCCTCTCCCTTGGAGCTGCTGGTGGATTAGCACAGCTCGAGAGGCTTGGCCTTCAAGTGAGTTGCACAACTTCTTACAGACGTCACCACCAGGGTTCCTCCCAAAGATAATCAACAAGCTTTTATGAATTAATGTTTCCCTGTGAAGGAGCCCTGGTGGTGTAATGCACCTGCTGAGAACCAAAAGCTTGGCAGTTTGAACCCATCAGCAGCTCTGAGAGAGAAAAATGGCCAGTCTCTTCCTGTACCAATTTACACCCTTAGAAGACACATGGAGGGCCACTATCGAGTTAGAACCTACTTGACTGCAGTGGGTTTTGGTTTTGGGTTTCACTGACTGTGAAAATAGATTTAACTGCATGGATTGTAACAAATATGGATAATATTGCAAAGAATAGAAATTCCAGAATACTTAATGTCAGAACTTGTACACAGAATAAGAGGCAGTTATTAGAACAAAATAAAAGAATCCTATGTTGGACAATGACTAGGGATGATAGGAGAACTGATGATGTCTTTTGAGCTGTGGTACTGTAGAAGAGTACTGAATATACCATGGACTGCCAGGAAAACAAACAGGTTTGTCCCAGAGAGGGTGAAACCAGGCTGCTCATTGGAGACAAGGACTCTGAAGCTTTGTCTGACATACTTTGGACATGTTACAAGGAGGGACTGGTCATTATGCTTGGGAGGATGGAGTGGGGAAGACCTATGATAAGACGGATTGATTCAGTAACTGGGGCAATGGGGGTAAATGTGTCCAAGACAATAAGTTTGGCAATAAGGATAGAGCAGGTTTGAGAGCTTGTGTACACAGGGCTGCTATGAGTCGCAAGTGACTCAACAGCCCATAACAGCAATAATATGGTTTAAAATTAGGAAAGATGTATGTCAGGGTTGCATCATTTCACAACACTAAATTCAATCTGTATGTTGACCAAATAATCAAAGAAACTGGATTAGATGAAAAAGAAAGTAGCATTAGAACCAGACAAAGACTCATCAACAACCTGCGATATGCATATGACAAAAATCTTGCTTTCTGAAAATAATACAGACTTGAAGAATTTACTGACAAAGGTTAAAGAATATTGTTGTTATGTGCTATTGAGTTGTCAGCGACTCATAGTGCTCCTATGCACAGCAACTGTGAACCCTCTCCTGTCCTGAGCCAGTCTCACTAATTTCAACACACCAAGTCCCATTACCCCAGTTACTGTATCAATCCATCTCATCTGGGATCTTCTTCTCCTGTGTTGTCCCTCCTCCCTTCCAAGTATGATGTCCTTCTACAAGGACTAGTCTCTCCAGACCATGTGTCCAAAGTATGTGAGTTGGAGCTTCAAAACCCTAGCCTCGAAGGAGAAATTTGGTCTTTACCCTCTCCAAGACAGACCTATTTGTTTTCTTGGTAATCTATGGTATGTTCAAGACTCTTCTCCAGCACCGCAATTCAAAGGCATCAATTCTTCTTCTGTTATCCTTAACAAGTAACTGACTCTGACTCTTAGTAAGTAATTGCAAAGACCATGACTTGGATTAGGTGTACCTTAGTCTCTAGACTGACATCGTTGGTTTTCAGTACTCTGGAGAGGTCCTGGACAGCAGATTTTCCCAATGCAATTTGTCTTTTGATTTCCTGGCTGCTAGTGCCATTAAGAGTACTGACTGTGGAGCTGAGCAAGCTGTAATTGTTAACACCCTCAATCTCTTTTCCATCCATCATGGTGCTGCCAAATGGCCCCGTGGTGAGAATCTTTGTCTTCTTGATGTTGAGCTTCACTCCATATTGAAGACTGCAGTCTTGACCTTCTGCAGCAAGCACTTCAGGTCCTCCTCACTTTCAGCAACCAAGGTTGTATCGTCTGCATAATGTAGGTTGTTGGTGAGTCTTTCTCCAATCCTGATGCCACAGTCCTCCTCAGAAAGCCCAGTCTCCCAAATGATCTGTACTGCACACAGATTGAAAAATATGGAGACAGGCTGCATCCCTGATACTCTCTTTCCTGATTTTGAATCATGCAGTGTTTCCTTGCTATAGCCTCCAATATGCATTACACCTCAACATAAAGAAAACCAAATCCCAACATCAGGACTAATATGCAACATTATGGAGGTGGGAAAAAGGGTGAATTGCCAAGGATTTTATTTAACTTGGATCATAATGAACACAAATGGAAACAGCAGTCAAGAATAAAATAACGCCCTGTAATGGGCAAATGTGCTGAAGGCCTATCAGAAGTACAAAAATACAAAGGTAACACCATGAGGACTAGGGTGTTCCAACCAAGCCATGGTCTTTCCAATCCTCTCATTCCCACATAAAACTAAACAAGGAACAAGGAGGCAAGGAGAACTGATATCTTTGAATTCTCGTGTTGGCAAAGAGTATTGAATACCACAGACTTCCAGTAAAATGAAGAAATCTGTCTTGACAGAATTACAAACATAATGTTCTACAGATGCAAAGATGTTAAGACTCCAACTCATATACTTTGGACATAGTATCTGAAGGATTATATTTGGTAATTTGTTGTTGCTGTTATGTTCCTGACAAGTAGGAATGACTCATAGCTGACCCTCCAGTGGGTTTTCATAAACGATATATCACACCAGAGGACACTATGCACCTTTCTCCCGCAGAGCAGCTGGTAGATTCAAATCAAATGTCAATGGGCTGGCAGTGTGATTCCTTACCCCAAGACCACCAGAGTGCCTTACATAAAATAGAGAGGTTGACAGAAAGAGGAAGCCTCTAAAGATATACTGAAACACAGCAACAATTGTGAGGATGACACAGGGCCAAGCAGTGGTTCATTCTGCTGGACTCAGTATTTACGTCCAAACTGACTTCACACTTAAAAACAACAATGAACTGATGAGCCAAAACAAGTATCATGAGTGAGTGTTAACAAAAAGAAGGCACTGTGGCCTCTAATGTGGCCTGCCACACCATCTACAAAGTATTCCTGCTAATACACCTAACCGGAGCTATCTGCGTCAGCATCTACATCAATCAACAGTGTAAAGGAAACATCAAGACCCAGAAAGACTTTACAGGACACCATGGAGATGCAGTCTGTAAAACCTCTTCTGCGGAAAATGTCACAAGACACAATCACTTTCGTCGATTAAGAAACTACAAAGGGAAGAAGAGCTCAGCAAATAGCTAGCTCTGAGGATGAATTTTCTGAATTTGTTAACTCAGACTGAATCAGGGCATGACAGGAAACTTGGGA